TTAGAATCCATTTTCAATTTCGTTTTCATGCTGAGAATTCTTATATGCCAAGTAGGGCCTTGAATTTCAAAACTCCCCCCCCTCTTTTCAAATTAAAAAAAATGCTAATAGCATAAAATCCTGCGTAAATTTCAACTCATGTTATATCAAGAACTTGCCTACTCTGAAACCAAATTCAGTAATAATCACATAAATGAACACTAAGAGCTCATTGTCTTTAAACCATTCAAATTTAATTTTTATGGTCCATTTTTCAACAAGTATTTTTAAATAAAAAATTATTTTTTTTGAAAAATTGACGTCTTTATTTTATATTTTGTATATATTAAAATATTTTTTTAAAAAAATAAAAGTAAAGAATTATAAATCTGAATTATCCAAATTAATTCTAGATGAACTTCAAGCAATGAGCTCTCGATGCTAATTTAGATGACTTGTTTACATGACAAGCACTTGCCTACTCCATCGTCTCCCCTTGCCAATGAGTCATCGACGTCATTTTCCATTGTCTTTTCCCTTCTTCCTCTTACCCCCCCCACCTTGCATTGAGTTTAATGCTTATCAAGTGATGAGCAACTCTGATGAGAAATTTAAATTGTTTATATTTTTAATTTAGACAGTTCATATTTATCAGTTATATTTTATATTTTTATGAGAAATTTAAATTGTTTATATTTTTAATTTAGACGGTTCATATTTATCATTATATTTTATATTTTTATATTTAAAAAATATAAAATTTTAATAAATATACTTTATTATTAATTTGATCAATGTAAATTTAATTTGAATGGTCCAATTTAGTATTAATTTTTTTTAATTTTTTTAATAAATTAATTATTTAGATAGAATTTTAAAATTATTGTCTTAAAATGAACATGAAATCTCAACCCTACCATTAAATAGCAACCAATTGTTGTTTCTCTAAGCATGATGGGCCCACATTCTTGTCTCTCTCCTTCCCCCACGGCTTCTCTCTCTTCTCTTTCTGCGATCTTCACATGCTTTAGCGAGAAGCTATCCGACAAGTAGATCAACCAAATCAAATGTGTTCAGCGTGCTATGCTTTTGAGATAAGGCGACGATATGGAGCTGATGTTTGAGATGTAGGAGAACTAGACGCAAGGACAACTTTCCGTAGCTATGTCTCTCAAACAGCAATCGAGTAGAGCAGGACTTCCACACCTACAAAAGTGAAGCCATCACTAGTGTTGTTGAGTTCAAGCAGTACAGTGATTCAATCAACGATCCACACCTCCCACACTGACAACGCTAATGTTGAGAATGTCAAAGATAGTGCTGCACGATGGGATGAATTCACGCGGTCGAGGAAGAACTAGGCTTACGTGATGGTCCCTCTGATAAGAGCAAGGAAGAAGGATAATTCATGTACATGTGCTTGCTAACAGTGGCGCTCCAACGAGGGTTGAGGGAGTTCACGAGGTTCATGGCCCTTGATAGCGCCGCCAATAAAGAAGAAGCATTGAGCCAAGCTATGGTGGCGGCGATGGAGAGCGAGGAGAGGAGGAGGAGGGTGTGTTTGCTAGGTATATAGCAGTGGCTAGGAAGGAGATATGAAGGCGATGGTTTTGGCCCAAATAGATCCAATGTGATGCCGGCTTTGCGCCGACCTCCGCCTCAGTTCTCCTCTGTCCACCTCCCCTCCTCTTCCTCCTCCTCCTTCAAGCTCTTTTTGAGCTCTGCCTCTGGTTCTAAGGTCTCCCAGGTTGTCCATCACCTAGGGTCAGGCGAGTTCGCGAGGTTTATTGCTCGGGATAGCGCTGCGGATGAAGAAATAGAACAGTGATGATTTTGAAAGCTAGTGAGCTATAGATAGTGGCAAGAGAAGGGGGAGGAGAGAGACTGAGAATGTAGGCCCTACGATGCTTAAGGTAACCATCGTTATTTACAAATTAATAGTGGCAAGATTGCCGCATATTTAATTGTTAAAAAGTTTAAAATATAGGTTTAAAATTCAAATCACAGTTTATGGTTTTTTTTTTGAACGGTAGTACAGTTTAGAGTTTAAATTGCTATTTAACTCATGATTTTAAACAACTTGTGAGTCACCTTTCTCACATGTGAACGTGTACCGTCATGGTTTGTACAATTTCAATTTCTGCTTCAGAATAAAAATATCAGAAAAGGACCAGGATCTAGAAGAAAGGTAGAAAAAGAAATATATTTTTGTACTATTTTATATTTTTTGGCTGCATATATATTGGCCGGGCTCGTTTGCTTGTCACGTTTTAGAAGATTAACATGATATTTAATGTAAGTCAATATATTCTTTATTGTTTTATGCAATTTTGGAAAAAAAAAACATTTTTATCAAAAGGTAGGAAATGACAATTTGATTTCGCGAGATGTTATGATACTTTCTAAGTCTCAAAGAATTTAATTGTCATTAAGGTTTTTGATGAAATGATAAAAATACCTCTTAATTAAAAAAAGTATGGAAAATGGTGAGACAAAAGTTATAAATACTTAAAATGCTTTAGTTATTCACTGAATTAGACTAGTGAATTTCAACATTAAAGTTATGAATGAAAAAAATTTGTTGCACTTTGCTAATTGAAGAAAAATGGTAAAAAAAAAAGTTGTGAATGCTTAAACCAGTATAGTTATTTACTAAATAAGAATTATGAATTTTAGAACTAAAATTGTGAGTGAAATAAACTTTGTTGCACTTTAGTTATTGAAGGAAAAAGGTGAAAGATAGTTGTAAATTTTCAAACTATTTTAATCATTTGTTGAATTAGAATTGTAAATTTTAGAACTAAAATTATGAATGAAAAAAGCCTTTTTAAACTTTTCTAAATTAAGGGATATTTTTTCATTTTATCAAAAATTTTAATGGCAATTAGGTCCCTTGAAATTTTAGAAGACATTATCACATTTCATAGGACTAAATTATTATTATTTTATTTTGAAAGAATTTATTCATCATTCTCCTAAATAAAAAAGAGTTGCAATATTTAGATTATTTTTAGAAAACTCCCTCACATCAAATCACTTTATTTAAATTTATGAGTAAAAATGAAAAGTGGTTCAATTTCAAGACAAATTTATTTTTAAAAAGCTTACCTTGATTTTAATAAATTAGTTAAAGATTTCTTGTATATTAAGACGGAAGCGAGTAGCCCCATAACTGCTGTATACATAGTAGCGGGGTTCAAGCGAACAGCCTCCTACTCTTAGGAAAAATTGTCTCTGCGGATATCTAAGCTTGGATGAATAAAAGCACAAGTTTAGGACTATTTGTTTTCTATTCTCATTTTTTATTTTTAAAAATTATTTTGCAATATAATTTTTAAATTTTTTTGAAAATAAAATAAAATAAAATCTATTTGATTATGTTAATTAAAAAACAGCTTTAAAATTAAACAAGAGACTGATTGTTATGATTATAAGCAGTTAATAATAATAATTAATTAATAAAAAAAATTTGTGAAGATACCTATAATTTTTAATAATTAAATGTAGTGTATTTTAAAGATAAGAAAAATAAAAGGAAAACAACTTGAAGTTGTTGCTATTTTTTTGTTTTTAAAAACAAAAAAAATAATTTTAAAAATAATTAAATAAAAAACACTTATCCAAAAAAATATTTTAAAAAAACAGTTTTTAAAAATAGAAAAATAAACAGGCCTAAATTAATCCAATTAATTAAGAGCGAGTAAGAAACATGAGATTGTTCTCTTTTTTAGGCGGGGTATTATATTACGATATTTTGAACCGTGATATACTATCCCGTCCCGTCATTTTCTAGACCGATGTAGGTCGTCCGATTAATTTCGATAGCAACCTCCGCTTTCTCCACATAGCTAGCCAGGTATTTATAATGAAATTACTGCCTGATTTTATAGTTCGGACGGCTCACGGCAATGTGGAAATATATTGCAGCGGCAATTTTCAGCGCAAAAGAGAAAAAGGCTGAGTAGAGATGCATGAACGAGTCACATTGAGAGGATCAGTTGTCTTTAAAGCAGTCAAAACCTAGGACCAAGGAAAACCATCGGGAGCAGATGAGTGTACCATCTTGCGAATAATTGATCGAACATATGCATGCATGTCGCTGTGATGTTCAAACACCTATAAAGTTGATAGGAATATGCCACCTAAAGTACTATATCCTGCACCCTTGAAATTCATTAATTACGTTCCTATCCCATTCTCCTAACACGTCCATAAAATTCCAACTGACCAAGAAAACAAAATCGATGATTTTATGATTCTCTTGTATGGTTGTGTTTGTGTCTGCGTGCGTGACACGTAACAATGTTATTATATCACAAATAAATATATATACAAATATTAATGACCGTCAAAAATAAGGTGATGGGATGTAAACAGGTAAGTATTTTTTTTTGAATATATGTAAACAGATATATAAATATTAATATTAGCCCGGACAAGAAAAGGAGAGCCGGTGGAAGGAAAAAAGAAAAAAGTCTTATGCTTGGAGGGAAAAGTGAAAAAAATAGAGGGGATAAATTTTCAAAAGAAGTAAAATTTTTTATTGTTTTTAAAAGCGTTCTCTCGTAATTTTTCTTTTCTTCATATTTTTCTTTCCGTCCAAATACATGATAAAAAGAAAACAGTGGAGAAGGGAGAAGGCAGCTTGTGGTAGACAAGTCCCCTGTGTCTACATGCACCCTAAACATGAATGATGAAACGAAGGCGTACATGCATGTGGATCTCTTATATGTTCTCCCTTGTCAAAATAGGCGGTGAGCTTTAGCACGCCGCCCTCAGTTCTCACACTTCTTTTCTTTCCCTTTTTTTAATGGCATCCTCTAGTCACTGTAGGGGATACAAGAGGTCCTACATACGCTGTGCATGATTAATTAAATTATTTATTTTTGATATATCTTTTAGAACTATGTTGATTTTGACAGGAAATAAAAAAAAATCAGTTAAAAACTATAAAAAAGGTTTAAACATGGTTTTAAAAAAAAAAAAATTGGAGGAGCGGGCACTAATTAGCAGAGGATATGAATAAAATTAAATCCTTACGCTCTTTCTAAAAGGGAGCATATATATCATTAGGCAAGGAGAGTTGAAACAAGTAGTGGATAAATTAATTTTTCAGAAATACACGAAACTTTGTTGAGCTACTGACAACAAAAAGCGGTCTTCATTGTATGTAGTGATGTGAAAGCGGAGGAGTCAGTCCACGGGAAGGAATTATATATTTGGAAGAAATTAAAGCCCTGGCGGGGAGAAGGACAGAGGGGACGACCAGGAATTGGGCGTATTGGAAGAGAGGCCTTTAATTTTCTAATCAAAGAGCAAACAGAGAGTGTGAGAGTCAGAGTTGGGGGTTGGGGCGGGGGGCATTATATTGAAGAATCTTGTGCATAAATCTGTGGGGGAAGAAGAAGATCGGAGTGGATGGAGGTAGGCTGGTGTTGGTGGGTCGGTGTGGTGGGGATGATGCTGAGCTGGATGGCGTACATGGTGTGCAGCGGCAGCGGGTGGGGGAAATCGGAGAGGGTGAGGAGGAAGCTGCGAATGCAGGGGATCAGAGGCCCTCCTCCTTCCTTCCTCTACGGGAATCTGCCTCTGATGCAGAAACTTCAGTCTCAGGCCAAACCCGCCTCTCTCCCCGGCCCCCACCATTCCCATCTCTTCGTCGCCCACGACTACACCTCCAACCTCTTCCCTTACTTCGAGCACTGGCGGAAACAGTACGGTAATACTACTCTTCTTCTCTTTCGTTCGCTTCTCCCGCTTTCCATTCTGTATGGGTCGACTTTTTTGGCATCACAATTCACAGATCACAGCAGCCTTTCTCTACGTTTAGTTCTCTGTTTAATTTGATAGTGTGTGAAAGTGAAAATTGGAAGGCGAAAGAGGACAAGCATGCCTGGGATGTTGACCATAACTAAAAGATATATCGGTGGGACTTTGGGACGGGGGACTGCTGCTGGCAATCATGCACACACATCTCCCCCTATTTATTTTTCAAACGCTATTGAAATGTCTTCATCCTCTCTAATAGTTTATAACTTAGAAGTCATGTTATTTTATGAGCTCCTGAATATGTTAGTTCTTCCTGGCTTCGCTTCTATGGATAAATGAATTATGAATGGATGATTGATTTTTCGGATCAAAGAAACTCTTGCCACCACTTGCCAGCTTGCTGGTACTGGGAGAGAGAGCTCAGTGTTCTGCGGTCTATCCCTCTCTGACTCCATAGTCACATGCCGGCACATATTTAAGGAGCCACGAGTCAATTATTTATATCTTTTTCAAAAAATTAATTAATTCAATAACTTAATGTCATGTTTAAATTCAGTAAGAATGAGTTTAAATTGCATTTTTATGAAGTTAATTTATAATAAAAATTACATTGTTTAAGAAAAATTTGCTTATAAAACTTATTGTTTCGTAAAAAAAAAAAGAATGAGTTTAAATTATGTATTTTGTTAAAAAGGAATATTTTGAGTTTATAGGGACTAAATTATTTGTTTATTTTTTATTAAGGATTACCTTACATTAATTATTACGCACGGAATTGTCTCTGCTTTCAACATTTTAATTTTAAAGGCAAGAAACAGGCATTGCTACAGATAAAAATGATATATAAACCTTTTTTAACTTACGAGTTGAAACATGGGTGTTGGATACAGATTTGTTGTTAATATAAAATATAAAGATAGTGTAGTTGCTGTATGTTTTACTATTCCTTAACCCCAAAAGGAGAAGAAAAAAAAAATCTGAACTGGTGAGGTCAGAGAGGACAGCACATTGCATATATTTTATTGGTGAGGTAGCAGTAGCACCGTGACATACACATGTATAAGAATAATCACCTTTACAGCTGTTGTTGCAATATAATCTTGGATAGTTACATAGCCTCCTAGGCGGCATCATCTTTGAAACAGCTTCCATAGGTTAATGGAGCGAGCCAGTGTATACAGCATTGCGGATCATTTCAGTGGGGCCCCATCAAATAAATGGATCAACGTCAAGTCCCTGTCCTTATTATCGGATTCTCGATATGAAATTTTATATCCGATTAATTAATTATTACAAAGTATATCTACAAAAGGAGGATGAGGTAACCTGCAGCACCTGCAACATGACTTGCAGGTCTACTGTACACGTATTCCACAGGGACGAAGCAGCATCTTGTTGTGAACGACCCGGAGCTAGTGAGAGAGATGAACCGGTGTCTCACTTTGGATTTTGGAAAGCCCTCTGACGTCACCAACAGGCTCGCTCCCTTGCTCGGAAACGGCATTTTAAGAGCCAATGGTCTTAGTTGGGCCCACCAGAGGAAGCTTGTTTCAGCTGAGTTCTTCATGAGCAAAGTTAAGGTGCGTGATTGATTATCCTTAATCATCTTCATATATTATACAATATCCCACGCCGTGCCCCTGAATTTGTCTTCACTTCCGTCGTGTTCCTTGATTAGATTAAACTTTATATAATATATCCTAAGAGAGGAATTGACACGAAATTAATAATGATCCATCTTTTTCTCCAGGGACACTTGCCTCTGTTAATAATGTTAGTTTTTTTAAATCTGTATGCACATGACAGGTGTGTCTGATATGTTATATTCATCGATAAAAAAAATAATTCTGACGCGACACATTCAAATTCTCCTGTTCCGCTGATTTCGTTTTATTTTCTTATTCACATACGCGCGCATATGACTGGTGTCGCTTTCCATTTTATCATACATCAATTCTAATTTAATTTGTGAATAGCACCACTCATTATAATATTATTATATTGTACATAGATGTTAATGATATATCGATCTTTTTAATGTATTTAACCAATAACCTTTTCATTAAAAAAATTTTTAAAACCCTTATCCTATTTTGGATCCACACTCTACAGACTTTATCTCAGCAAATTAAATCAAATCCGAACAAAAAGAATTCTTTATCAAGCGTGAATTGTAAAAAAATAAAAAGAATTTTTTTTTTCATACTTTTCAATTGCGGACTAAAGTTTGTGCCCTGTACAGAATTTGGATCAACTCATCATATAAATGAGCATTGAGTTCATCGTCTCTGAACTATTTAATTTAATTTTCTTGTTTCACATTTATAATTTTTCAACTGATATTTTAAAATAAACATTTATTTTTTAAAAAATGACAGTTAAAAATTGTCTTTTTTTTTTAATTTTGTATTCATTATAATAATTTTTTAAAAAAAATAAAAAAATTTATAAATCTAGACTATTCAAATTAAATTTAAACAATCTAAAAGCGATGAGCTCTTTGCTCATTTATATAATGAGCCATAACACTATTGGTTCCCCCTTGTACAGGCTAACATGGGTCTGCACGAGATTTGTTTGTGGACGCCTCACATTTTATATTATCTCGTTCTCTTGCATAAGGCCTTCTCCTGGACCAGAGATATCCCAGTTCCTCTATTATATAATGTTGAGTTGTGTTTGATTTACATATATTAATCAAATATAAATGGATAGTAAATGACAAATAAGCGTGTTATATGATACGGGGGATGACAATTTTATATGCTTCTACATCTGATCTGATCTGACAAAGCTCAATCGAAGGCATTTCAATAAAAATCCACTGGCCGATTCTGTGAGGCCATGGGTCTTGTGCGAGTGACGTGTAAATAATGTTATTGTGGTAATTAAGGTATTTCATGATTTAATGAGACGAAGGAATTCAATTCATCGATGGAAAGAGGCGCAAACCCCCCATGTTTAAACTAATGATGAGAGGAGGAAAGTCCCAGACTACCCCCTCCCCCCGCATTCATATATAATAAAAAATGTGTCATGTGTTTACTTGCGTCTGCATTTGCATTTAGTTTGCAAGGGACATTCCACTTTGAAAATTTAGAGATGTGGAAAGAGACCCATAATATTATGTATGCATACCATTTTGGTGATGTAGTGAAATGACATTATGGGGCAGGGTATGGTGGGGCTCATGATAGAATCAGCGCGGCCTATGTTGTCACAATGGGAGCAGTCAATTAACGAGGTTGGATCATCAGGAGAAGTTGAGGTTGAAGTTCAAGCAGATTTGAGGGGCTTCTCTGCTGACGTCATTTCAAGGGTCTGTTTTGGCCATTCCTATTCCAAGGGAAAAGAAGTTTTCTCCAAGCTTAGAACCATGCAAAAGGCAATGTCCAAGCAAGGCGGCTTCCTTTTTGGCCTCTCTGGGCTTCCCGTGAGCCCATACATATTCTCCTCCACTTATCTGTATCGTTAATCAATGAATGTAGTCTAAGGTCAAGTGTGTGATTGGTGATAGCAGGGGCGTGCTTAGTTTGTGGAGAAGGAAGGAGAGCGAGATGAGCAAATTAGAGAGAGAGGTAGAGTCGCTGATATGGGAGTTAGTGGAGAAACGCAAGCGAGAAGGGCGATCAGAGACAAGCTCACGTAATGGGAAGGATCTGATGCAGTTGCTTCTGGAAGAAGCCAAGAGTGATGAGAGTGTAGGTGAGGACTTGTCCAAGAAATTCATAGTGGATAACTGCAAGAACATCTACTTCGCTGGCCATGAAACCACTGCCGTTGCCGCCTCTTGGAGCTTGATGCTTCTTGCTTTACACCCTCAATGGCAATCTGCCATCAGACATGAGGTTGCTCACTTTTGCCCTAATGGTATCCCAACCGCAGATTCTCTCCCCAACCTCAAGAAGGTATATACCCACGATGTTCCCTACACTAGATACGCAATCTTTAATCTCCTACATATTATATATACGTTTAAGTTTTTCTTTTTTGTTTTTTGTTTTTAATCATCAGATGACAATGGTGATTCAAGAAGCTCTGCGATTGTATCCACCGGCAGCTTTTGTGTCAAGGGAGGCATATGAAGACATTCAAATAGGAAACCTGTTGGTTCCGAAAGGGGTTTGTGTGTGGACTCTGATCCCAAGGTTGCACAGAGACCCTGATATATGGGGACCGGATGCTAATGAGTTCAAGCCAGAAAGGTTCAGCGATGGTGTCTCCAACGCTTGCAAGTTCCCACAAGCATACGTGCCCTTCGGAGTGGGTAATCGGTTGTGCTTGGGCAAGAACTTTGCTCTGGTCGAGTTGAAGGTTGTGCTCGCCCTCATCGTCTCCCGTTTCAGCTTCTCTCTTTCAACTTCCTACAAGCACTGTCCAGCTTACAGAATGATTATAGAGCCAGGATATGGTGTGCATATCCTCCTTCACAGGATCTAACCTCCCAGTGCTGATACGGTAACTCTAGATGGATTAGCTTTGTGTTAATTACCGCACGTTTTCTTTGCTCTCAAAATTATCCCAGGGCTTGTGTTCTCCATCAAGTATTATCACAAGTATACGGATTGTCACAAGCATGAAGTTTTTCAAAGATATTATTTCCACGAGCATTTAAGTAAAAGAGAATTGAAATTTCACTATTTAATTTTGTGTTGGGTTGAATAAAATCAAATGTAAGATTTGTTTAAAAATAATGAAAATTAAATTAAAAAGTGTTGGAAAGCAATTAAAAATTTTAAAACTTTGACTTCAAGAGAGGAGAAATCTAAGATTATCTCTCCCTTTTGTATTTCATAAGACTTAAATTAAGTCATCTCAAAATAATTTTTAATAAAAATAAATGTTAGTTTAAGATTTTAATTTACTTGAATGAGATTTCTCAAGTCAAAATCAAGTATTTTTATAAATACTAAAATTTCTTAATCTCTTAAAAATAATTAGCGAAAACAAGTTTTAAGCATCAATCTTAAATTGATAGTGAAGGAATAGCAAAATATCTCTATTTTACTTACAAAACTATATATTTTATCTTCATAAATTTTAAGTCCAACATTATTTTATCCAAATTTTACATTTAAATTGGCTTTCTTAAGCACAACCAAGTAAATAAAACAGTTTAAATGATGGCTAAATATTTAGAAGCATTAAGTAAGAGATAAAATAAATATATAGATATCATTAGTTATCAAAAAAGAGGAATGATCAAGTATTAATCATGTAAAAGTTTAAAATAATTCTAGAACAAGATTACTAGCTGCTCATGTATAGAAACAAGCTTAAAAACATCATAATATTTGAAGCCCATAATAGAAAGAAGAGAGAAAGGGGAAGATAAACCAAAAAATTAAAAAATATCCACTTGAATCTTTTTAAATCTTTAATCATTAGCTAAATCTCTTTCAATGACCCCAAACCATAGTAAACTCAAGCTCCAAGACCTCTTGAAGTTGTGTCATCTTGCTACAGGTGTGGAAATAATGGGCTTATGAAACTTTAATTTTCTTTTTGCAGCTTAAAACACACAGCCTCATTTAACTCATGTACTGTAGCATGTTGTCATTCTATTGTAGCATGTGTGTAAATTTTGTGACGTGCATGTCATGGCACACTTATAATTCATGGAATTTACTTCTTTGTGCCACATACTACGGCATATTATGCATGTATTATGGCACATAGTATAAAGAATTCAATCTACACTTGTGGTCTAATATTTATTGCCTTTTCGTTTCCAATTCCATTCGTAAGTATTATTTAGCTCTTCATTAATGTCGTTACTCATAAGAGGTTACTTGAAATACCAAAAAAAATCCATGAGATCTTTCACAGATTAAATCAAGGCAAGATTCTTATGAAAATTTTTGCGTGCAGAGAAGAAGTCAGAAGCAAACACTCCTTGCGTTGCGAAAGGGGATGAACGCGTGCAAGCCACTACCAAAGTTGATTAAGGAAAAACCCAACTTGATAACGGAAAGAAATCTATCGATGGAGTTGGGCCAGAAGAACAAAGGGATTCCAAAACGTGACATTGTAAGAAACCATATTGTGGTTAGCGTCACCGTCAACTAATTGGGTTGCAAGAAGATTGTTAAGGATAATGTCAGCCCAAATCATCCCTCCCCTGCACTGATCTCTTCCCCAGACTCGCCGGCACAGAGTAAAAGACGAAGGTTCGATTTGACAGTGGATGAAGGTTCGATTGAATGCTCCGTCTTGAGCCATGGGAATCCCAATGACAGGTGAATATTGTTTGCAAGAGAGGCTATAGGTTGTAAGCTACTTAGCTAAGCATGAACGTGGATCATCCTTTGCCATAGAATGGATTCCCCATTTACCTTCAGGTCGTTCCAGTATTTATTGGATGAATAGGCAATTATTGTCTAGATCACTTGTACTTTGTTTGGTACTGTTTTAGTTTTTATCTTTCAAGGGCTCTCGCTTGCCTTTATAATAATAATAATAATAATAATAATAATAATAATAATCGGTATCCATAATATAAATATCTATAGGCTTTTTGTTTATCTGTGGCGTGGCTTAATACAAATCCATGAGTCGCGGACTCTCAACGAGCAAAACAAACCAGGGCCAACATTTAGCACATGTTTGAATTTCGTTTTTACTAGTTGAAAGATTCCTAAAAACAATTTTTTTACTTATAATTTTTTTATTAGAAATAATTTTATTCAAAACACGGTTGGTGAGACAAATTTTATGTTAAGTAATGTTTGGCAACTTTTTAGACTTAATTTGCAAATCAAAATTTACAAGTGAAAAATTAGTTTCATAGGCATAAAATCAGAGTATCTTTTAGTGCAAATAAAAAGTTTATTTTGACAATTTACAAACTGTAAATAAAAAATGCAATAAAATGCAGGAGTCCATGACTAGCATTTAGTTTACTTATTTAATTCTTTGAAAAACGCCGTCGACAATGGATTTAGCTTGAAGAGGAGACCGGTTTCAGTGCTCAGCACATGGTGCTCATTACTATAGTGAGATCTGAATCATTCAGATTTTGATCTGGATGGTTCAGATTTTAAATATTATTATATATTATATTTATTAAAATAAAAATATATAAAAATTATAAAATAATTTTAATAAATTTTTTATTTTTAATATGGCTTAGATTTAATTTAGAGGGTCTAATTTAATATTAAAATTTTTATAATTGATATATATTGATTATCTAGATGTACTCTGCACAGGCCATATTACAGTTAATCTAGCCTGTGCAGAATACATGTGAATAGTCAATATATATTAATTATAAAAATTTTAATATTAAATTAGACTCTTTAAATTAAATCTAGGCCATATTAAAATAAAAAATTTATTAAAATTATTTTATAATTTTTATAATTTTTATTTTAATAAAAATAAAAATAAAAATATATAATAATTTTTTAAATCGATTCAAACTTCACCACAGTTATGAGCACCACCGAAACCGGTCTCCTTGAAGAGTAAAGGCTTGCGGGCGCAAGTCCATCCTACTCGGACTCAACACCCAAGCATGCCACTGCTTGCCTATCCTCACGAGTCACGAGAGAGCTTTGCCACACAATCAGTACGACGAACTCTCTCTTTCTCCAGCTTGGCGAAAACCTCCCCGTCCCCATCATCAATATTCAGAGAGACATGGCAGTAACGGGAGTTACAGTTCGTATGAAGATTCAGATGCAGTCAGAGAAACAACAAATGAAGGGTTTTCAGTCCGCCTGCATGGAATTAAGATGGATCAGAAGAAGAAGCACCCAAACCTCACAAATTAATAGAAAGCTGCGAAGCCCAACAATTAGGTCGCCTTTTCCGATTTACATTTCTACGGACCCAAAACATATCGATCTTCACCAGCTTCAACAACTCTATGCCAATTGCAACCACTCGTGCTACAGGTTCCCCAATTATGTGGACGCCCATGGCTGCGTCGAACCCGTCGATATCCATAAGCTCCACGTTGCTCTGTCTCACAGCGCCGTGCTTGTCTCCGTCTTCTGCAAACCTCACCATATTGTTGATGAAGATAGGGGTGGCGATTCCACTTCCTCTGCGGATTCGTCGAAGATGATTATGGGTGTGGCGGATTTCTTGCAAAGCATGACGCCGGTTTCAACCTTCGACGGTCAGCTGGTGGGCTTTGGCCGTGCCATTTCTGATTGTGGCCTTACCGCTTCTATCTACGATGTGATGGTAACAATTACTGACTTTCCATTACTGAAAGTTTAAACACGCGTGTCTAAAAGAACAAAATTATCGTGAACATTTGATTTTGAGAAGTGGTTTGATCCTGCGCGATGCTAAACGTGCTTCAGCACAGCAGGTAATTCCTTCCCTGCGGAGATTGGGAATTGGCCGAATGATAGTTAAAAAAATTGTGAGGTATATATTTTTGCTCTCTTTTCTGCAATTGTTTAACTGTTTAATGTTAATCTGAATACTTTTCGAGAATCGAGATTGAGTTGCTTCACAAATTAGGCACTTTCAATCATCACTGCATATTTGACTGTTTTCTGAACATACTTCAACCATAGTACCTTGAGCTTGTTGCGGGGTAGTGATTGTTGGTTTTCAATTATTATTGGGATCACAAAATGGTAGCTCCTTATCTTGATTTCATCGATCATCAAGTTAACGTATTTTTAGTTATTTGATTTCACTATGTATTAGGTTCTGCGAAAAATGCAAGCAGGATGATGTTTTGACTTAACCGAGCAAGTTTTGGCTGTCTCTTGGCTCTTTACTCTTTCTCTAATCTGGCGATGAAACTCTTAAATCTCCCGGAATCTTAATATCACCACTTCCTCTTTGTAGGATGCTCACAAATAGAGACATTTATGACATAGCAGCTATTTGTACAGAGAATGAGAGGTATTTAATTGATCCTTCTGGAGCGCTTAGTCCTATCCTTTTATGGACTGCAATTCATAAGCAAAACTTTTGTCAGGTTATTCTTTAGGGCATGTGGATTTGGAGGTGACATTTTGGGCTCTACTACCATGATGTACACGAGGGCTACATTACCAACGACCCAGCTAGGTGAATACGACGTTAGACGCATAGGCCGAAAGCAGAAATCATGTAATGAGTGAAGTCTCACTACAGAAAACAGAAATAAAACTGCAGAAAGCAAAAACAAGATCAGCACAGCTCAACGAGAAATTTTCAATAATTGGCATCTCTATTTTTATTCATTCTTCTTGACAGGTGTAAAAAATAGTCTCATTTGACATGGGAAGAGGGAGTGAGTCATTGAGCAACTGCAGGAAGAGGGAGCCCTATGGTTCAATGTAAATGTGCTAGAAATTGAAGGTTCCTGGGGAAATTTCTTTGTACAGATTCTTGCCAATTCTTTTGCATGTGACCAATTTAATATTTCCCATTCACCGTAGTAACAGATTCCTGCTTGTTTGTGATGCATTTAGTAGGCGGGATGTAACGCTAATGTTAATAAGGATTTTAATTTTCCCAGCAGCAAAGGAAAGTAGGCTTTGGAACAATGCAAAGCATATTCTTTTTCTCTTTTCCTGTTCAAACCTTATTGAAGGAGGAATTTTTGGAGCAAGGATCTCTTTATTATCTTGTTTTCCTTCTTTGAGCCTTCTATGGGGAAAATCTGGGTTGAGGTAAGCCTCGTATCTGCTCATGGGCTCGGGCGTTCACCCTCGTTTTGGAAGCGTCAATGGTTTGCCGTTGGATGGATCCATCCTAACTGCAAATACTGCACTAAGGTTGATGATTCTGGGAGTGAAAATCCTGTTTGGAAAACCAAGTTTGCCGTTCTGGTTGATGACTCTGAGTCCGAGATCAACATCCAAGATCTAGTGTTGAACGTGGAAGTTCACAGTATAGATCCCATATTCCTCTCGGAAAATATTTATGGATCTGCATCTGTTATCATCAAAGAGTTTCTAGCGAAGGAGGTTCCAAATTCTGGGGCTTCTGTAAGGCCAGGGAATGAGGAAGTTTGGAGCTACCAACTGCGAAAGAAGGATTCCGACAAACCACGAGGCTTCATTGATATTTCAATTCGTGTATTCGAGGAAAAGGAATATCAAAATTCGAATCCAGGTGTAAAATGGAGAGGTTTTCCCGTCATCCACGCTGCAGCTAATTTCTGGCCATACCTTTTGATACAGAAAATTTACCTTCTGGTGTTTGTAAAGATGCATGCTTCAACCACGTGATCTTTGATTCCCCCCCCCCCCCGCCCTTCTAATCAAAGTTAAATTTTTTTAAAACCATAAAACTAAGATGAATCAAGATTGAGGTGGAGGCATGTATTTTTGGCTAGCAAAAGTACTGCCTTTTATGTTTGAATCTTAATCCTTCTCTTGTTCTCACCTATCCCAATCTGAAGCATTTGGAGTTTGTCGTGTAGGAAAGGAGAGAGGCAACTTGACTGCAGAAAATGGATCAGGGGACGTGTATTGGCGGCATTCGCCTCTGGCTTCACTCCAACGCCAGAAGAATGAAACACAGAGCAACGTTCCCTGCTCGTATCCAAGGCAGTTCCCTGCAAACGATTCTGACACTGACCTATATGGGGAGGGACCCAGTTACGAACGACGTAAAACTCCTTCTCCACCACCCCCACCTTCAAATGTTGGTTATATACCCACTTTTCTCCCCAGAAATGATTCTTTGCCATCATCATCGCCTAGGGCAAAACCTCCTGAGAATGTACCTCCAGGGTTGGCAATGGGAGCTCTGTTATTTGGGGATGACTTCATGTCTGGATTTGACGTTCCTCCGGGCCTTGCCTCCGGTAGACTTACCATACCCACTGTTCCTCCTTCCTGAACAAACATCAAACTGCTTCTGTCATAAATATTACTTGTTCTTTCCTAGAATTAATTAATGCCAGTTTACTAACCGAGCTTATAGAAAAATTCTCCTATGCTATGAATGATCAGTAGCTACGTTCAATCACCTCAATCTGGTGTTCCGAAGTTCAAGTCTAATGCAAGAATGTTGATGGATGGATAGTAATATCTAGTCTTCAGTGAGAGTGCAAACGAATCAATTAACCTGAAGCCACCCAAGGATGTGGGCCGCCTTCTGTCTTTTCCTAATTTACTACAACTAGGCTTAATTAAATCCCTGTACAGCACTTCACATTATAGCCAATAATTTGGACGAATTGAGTTTATTTATATAAGATTCAATTTAAGTTGAGCTTATTTAAATTGAATTTAAAATATTATTTTTTATAAAAAGCTTATATAATTAAACTTGACTCTAATACCTTTGGGTTTCGGGCTTATTTAGACCGGCCTGAATATCTGAAACTTTTTTAAAATTTTTTTCTCTATTTTGTGAACCAATTTTAAATTTTAGATAATTTTATTAAGTATAAAATATTATTTTAATTTTAAAAGAATAAAATAAAAAATAATAACTTATTAATTTTGTACTTAAATAGCTCAATTATTGTTTTGTTATGTTATGTGTAATTTATTCATGAATATTTTATTTACTTGTAAATTAATGTCTTAATTTTTTAAATATTGTTCTTATCATGGTCATATATAAATATTTTATATATTTTAATTAAATTATATTATTTTAATTATGATTAAGTCAATCTTAATTCAATTACGGTTAGACCATTAATTTAAAATTATTGCACCAATTAATTCAAAGTTTTTCATAAATTTTGGATAAACTGTATTTTTATTTTTAAGAATATGAAAAAATTAGCCATAATTATATTGTATAAAATAAAATTATTTAATTATGAGTAAAATACTACTTTATAATTGATTTTTTAACTTTTTATATTGCTTAATACCTACATACTTTTATTCTAGTTTATGATTAATTTTTAATCAGGTTTGACATAAATGATAACTAAATAATCATTCAAAAATATTATTTTATCTATTATGTTTATCTAGTAGTAAAATTGAGAATTTGTATATATCTAAATTTTATTTTTAAAATTATTTTTAATTTTAAATTATTTTATTCTATTAAAATATAAAATATATTTTTTGGATATGTAAATGATGTATAGAACTAAAAAAAAATTTAAAAAAAATGAGTCTTTAAATATAAAAATAAATATTAAAATATATTTTAAATATTATTTTGAGATATCTTATTGATTAAAATAATGAAAATAGAAAATTATAAATATTTTTAATTTTTTTAAAAATAGCTATAGTAATGTACTCAAATATATGATATTTTAATATAAAATGACATAAAATTTAAAGAATTAATTAATATTTATTATATTTTGTATATATTTTTTAAACTATTTTTCTATTTAGTGATTTGGGCTAGTAAGCTTAAACATTAAAAATTATTATTTTTCAAACTCAATCTTAATTTTTTTTCAACAGGTTTGAGTTATTCCGTCGGACTTAACTTAAATTACTGACTTTAGATCTTGAATCTCAAAGAATTGCATGCAAATCTCTACAAACAGTAACCAGTGTTTATGTATATTGATTTTTATTAGGATCACAAGTTAATGGTTTTTTTTTTTGGGGAAAACTTACAGATAAATTTGCCATAACGACAAACTAGAGTCACTAATAAACGGTTGATAATCATCAATGTCTATCTGTATAAAATATAAAAATGATTAGCGATACATGAAATCCTTTAGTTTCAAATTGTTTAGGATTGTGGGAAGTATGTCACGAGTTCCACATCGGGGAACTTCACAAGTATTGTGAGGTTTATAAGTGTGAGGGACTTTCTCACCCAATAGGCTAGTCTTTTAAGATGGGTTCTCCCTTTGGATTTGTGCTCGTCACATTGGTGCTTTCGTTGAGAGTTCGGTGTCACGGAAAGGATTATCCACAGAGGATTCTGACTGATAGAAGGCCGAGTGAAGTGCTGTGGAGTGAAGCCGCCGAGGACGTCGGCTCTTGACGGGATGACATTGTCACAAGTCCCACATCGGAGAGCCTTGTGAGATTATAAGTGTGAGGGCTCTCCTACCCAACAAACTAATCTTTTAAAATGACTCTCTCTTTAAACTTGTACTCGGAGTATGTCACAATTCCTGTGCGATTGGACCTCAGGCCGTTGAAAGAAGGGGGAAAAAGCGATTGGATCATACAGCATCACACCTTGAATTAAGATTTAGACCACCTAGACACAATATCGGCTTAGACATTAGACTGCATAATATATATGCGAGCGTGCGTGCGTGCGTTAAACATCCGTGGTTTCGAAGAGCAAAACTCCGAACCCAATAGAAATGGAAGCTCTTTTGTGCAGAAAATTGGGTGATCCGACTGTGTCTGCACAAGATAATTCTAGCCCAATATATGTCTCGAAAAATCACCCTATTCCTGAGTTGGATTCTCCCACTTCTGTAAGAGTTAGAATCAAAGCCACCAGCTTGAATTTTGCAAATTATTTGCAGATTCTGGGTAAGTATCAAGAGAAGGCTACTTTGCCATTTATCCCAGGTTCCGATTTTTCTGGCTTCGTTGATGCCGTTGGCCCCAAAGTTTCCAATCTCAGAGTCGGAGACCCTGTTTGTTCCTTCGTTCCCCTTGGGTCTTTTGCTGAATTGATCGTTGTAGACCAGAGCCAACTGTAAGATTCTGCTCAATTTTCCCTTTTGCTCTTCATTGCATTTTATTGTTAATTTTAGAACTCTTCTAAGTCATGTGCTTAATGTTCGTTAACTGTCAAGGTTTCGCGTTCCCAAAGGTTGTGATCTGGTTGCTGCCGGGGCTCTTCCAGTGGCTTTCGGTACTTCACACGTTGCACTCGTCCATAGAGCTGGATTGACCTCTCGTCAGGTATCTGGCTATCTTCAAGTTTGAAAATTCACAGGTTGAACCATTTATTGGAGACTAGTTGACCTGACTAATCATGATATGTCAATACGACTTTGTATGTACGTTTTGATCCAGCATGTATACCCATGAGTTTTAAAAGTACCCTCAATTCAGTTCTTCCTATGGTTTGCTTCTGCCAGTTTAATGCTATTGCCTATTCCTCTTTACATCTTTGATTGTTGTATATGTGTCCGATGGTATAGTAAAATAGATTATGGAACTATAGGTATTGCTGGTTTTGGGTGCAGCAGGAGGTGTAGGCCTTGCAGCCGTACAAATTGGAAAAGCTTGTGGTGCCATTGTCATAGCTGTCGCTAGGTAGTGAATTGTTTTAGTTGATGATAAATGTAACAGTTGACAAGCATTTCTCCATCTAGTAATGGCACATTTACTTAGTATCTCTAGGAGTTTAGTACTTCTAACACAATATGATTGCAGGGGAAGTGAAAAGGTGAAGCTTTAAAATCACTTGGTGCTGATCATGTGGTGGACTTGGCTGGTCAAAATGTCACTCAGAGTGTCAAAGAGTTTCTCCATGCTCAAAAGCTCAAAGGGGTTGATGTCCTCTATGACCCAGTTGGAGGCAAGCTTACTAAGAAACTATGAAGCTTTAAACTGGGGAGCTAAAATTCTGATCATTGGGTTTGCAAGTGGAGAAATTCCTGTCATCCCTGCTAATATAGCTCTTGTCAAGGTACGTCAAGAAGAAATTTTAGACTCATTGTTCACTGGATGACTTTTTGCTTGTCACTTATGATCTTGCTTTATCAAACGCAAATAGTTTGAATTCTAAAATCAAGTTGTGGAAGGAAGGATTTGAAATCAGCCTAGAAATTAAAGGGGAGCAAGCCTGATGCCTCACAAATTGCAATCAAAACTGATTTAACCTTCTTTTGTTCATTTCTTCCCTTGTTTTCTTCCAATATGGTCACTTGAGTCTCGATGTTATTCTAACTCCTGTTGTTAAGTTGCTGTCTGAGGCTTTAAATTAGTTGGTACAAGAAAGGGCTTTATGTGACCTGTGTCCCGTCTGGTGCATTTTCTATCTTATGTGACCTTGTGTGATTGTATCTGCCATTTAATTGCGCGTGTTTAGAAGAAACATGGGATGGCTTGGTATTATGAAGAGTATAGGATATATAGTAAATCTCTTGTTTTCTTATAATGAAATAATTTTGCAGAAGATACTCCTTGCTGGGTGTGGTTATAAAAGTTGTTAACCGGGACTTCTTAGTTAATAACATTTATAAAAACTTGGTAAATAATAAAGCACAAAAACATCATACAATCCATGTAGCCGACCCACCTGGTAGGGTAAGCTTGTCATCATTGTTGTGGTACTCCTTGCTGGGTGTGGTTATATCTTATATCTACTAATCTTGAGGGAAAATTACAATTTGTGAAGCAATGCTCTCTTGCTGTCTCACATTTACCATGTAATTTAATTTGTTTGCTTGAGTTACATTCTCCTTGTCGTATCCAGAAAACTTAAAAATTATATATATCAATATCATTGTATTTGGTTTTTCTATCTTCTCCTTCTAAACAAGGATGATGAAAAAGCATTGTGGAGTACAGGGGTTACATTATTTTACGGAGCCAATGCGGCACAAAACCAGCTGTCAGACTTTCCAAATGAAAAGTCTATGCTCTGCCACAGCACTAGTTCCTGTCTGGCTACTGTGAAACGCTTATTATTTGTATCCTTCATTTTTAGTGGCTATGATGTCTTATATTTATTTATATTTAAGGGAAAATATAACTTTGGGTCCCAGTACTTTGGTCGAATTTTGTTATAGGTCCTTGCACTTTTTTTCAATATTCTAAATCCTTACATTTTGTTTTTTGATGTTTTAGGTCCTTCCATGAGCAGTGTTATAGGAATGTAGAACACGGAAAAATAAAATTGTAGTGACCTAAAACATAAAAAAAATGAAGAAACTTATAGCAAAATTTGAGCAAAATATAGAGGCCCAAAATTTTATTTTCCCTATATTTAATGTTGTTGTGACAGAACTGGACAGTGCATGGTCTTTACTGGGGTAGCTATAAGATACATCGGCCAAGTGTTCTTGAAGATTCTGTCAGGGAGCTACTTTGCTGGCTGGCAAGAGGCTTGATTTCTATCCACATTTCTCATTCCTACCGGCTTGAAGAGGTCAGGATTTTTTCCATTGTGCGCATTTGTTCTTTTAATTTGAGGTCTAACCTTGGCTAAATGGAGTCGATCCCCCTAAATGTTGCCAGTCGCGTCATTAGATCTTCCTAGGTTCTGTTAAGAAACATACTATTACAGGTTGGATAGCAATTCTCTAGAAGAAACTTTATTGCCTGATTTCTTAATTTAGTGAATTGCTCCTGAAATCCCTAATGAATAAACATGAAGTGAATTGAGAGAGGAGGTCAAACAGAGGAATAATTTGACTTTATTCTATCATCACGGTAGCAGAAGATTATGAGAAAATTGCAAGTTTTTAACTATACTTGTTTGCTTTAGTACCCACTTGTCTATCAAAGGGTGGGTGTTTCAGGGAAAACGTTTTGAAGGCCAAAGATGTCAGCATTTCTTTGCACTCACTGTTCCATTTCCCCACTTTTCTCCATCTGATGTGGACTCCGTGATGTAGGAAACTAGTACTCTTGTCCTTCGTAGCAGCATGCCATATAGTAATAGTATGGACATGACACCTGGTGTCAAATTGAGGTCCATCAAACTACGCTGCACATTTATACAGTGCAAACATATTAAGATAAAACTATGAATAGCACTGGAGTATTTTTGCAGTCTAGGCAGTACTTTTTGACATTAAATCTGGAAAAGCGTGAAAAGCATCGGAAGGTATATTATATAAATTATGATCCCAATCCCGTAGCTGAATAGATTCTTGAGATTTATTGTTTCATTAAGCTAAATCAGTGAGTAGCTAATATTTAGGACATTTGGACTGAGTCATGGTAATCATATCTTGCAATGGAGATGAAGTTGAAGAAGACAAAGTGGTTATGGATCTGTGGGATAGATATCTTGTAACCTCAACGAAATATGATAGTTGCATGTAAATCTATGCTGGATGTTTGTAATGGCTAGTTGATTTCTGCCATCCCTTTGAATGTTTTTAACATTAATCTCTCTCTAATATTATCAGTTAAGATATAACATACAAGGAATATCTATGTTCTTAGGAATTAACGATTTTGAAATGATCTGTCCTTGCAGGCCAACCTGGCTTTTGCTGCTATCAGAGATAGAAAAGCTATTGGGAAGGTGATGATTGTTTTTGATGAGAAACGTCCCATATCAAAGCTGTGACTCCGCTAACATTGAAGGACTTTGCCTAATTTGTGGTGCCCTTTGATGCCTGGATAACATTTTCCAATAAATGTGTGGGGCAGCACTTTGCTCCACTGGTGATATGCTGCCTGTTAAAGATGCTCATACCTCATTTTTAGTCATTGTCTGATGAAGTCTAATAATCATATATATATATATATATATAGAATCAAAATTACTGTATAATCCATGTTTGCCTCGTAAAATATGCAAATTTATTTTAAAATGCAGAGGGCCTTTTTTTTTTTTTTTAGGCAAAGAGGGCCAAAATCCAGTCTCTTCTGAAATTAACTCTGCACGGGAATTTTAGGCTGTGGCTTGATCGACCCCTGGTCTATACCCGGCTTCGACCTGGTTTTTAATTCGGCCTGTTAGTCGGGCGAAGTGGAATTACAACTCTTAAAATTGTAAAGTGACCCATTTCTAGTTTTTCTATTTTTAATTATAATATTATTATTTTTTTGTTTTTTTCAGGCGAGGATTAGCCTATAAATGGGTAAATGTATGTCTATAATAAAAAGAGATAATTGCTGAAAAGTTTCTGTTCAGCAAATTTATTGTGCAAAAAGATCTGAGATCATTTAAAGGACTAACGTCCTTTAGGGCAAATAGATATGCAGAGGAAATGAATAAATTGCTCTTAAATGAAGACATGCAGTAAATTTCTGAGTATCACAAGAATATGTGCCTGAAAATATATTAATAGAAGAAATTTTTGAAAACATGGAGGGTGCATGGGAGACAACTTGCAAACATGATTTCTTCAGTGTTCATAAATGAAAAATGCATAAGATTAAAAAATTTGCATACGGCGAAGAAGATTGTACGTGTGAAGGATAACTTGCACATACTATTTTTCCAGTGTGTGTTGAATTTTTTTTTTTTGAGTAAAAAAAAACTTCATTCATAAAAAAGTAAACAATTATAAACTAAAGGAAAAAATAAGAAAAAAAAGACAAAGGACCCTCTAAGGAACCAAAAAGAAGCCTAATGAGGGGGCAAGTGATACAAGTTAAAATCACAAGAGACACTATGTGCCAACTTAGTAAAATAGTTAGCACCCTTGTTGTTTTCTTTGTACAAAAAATGAATATTAACATTTCAATTTCTAATTAAAAGCCTTCTAGTAACCTGTATTATATCGTAGAAGGGATGGTAACTGTGATTGTTCCTGTGATAGTGAAAATAGGGTACACCTTATCACAAAATACCTTCACAACTCTATATCCTTTCTTCCAGCATAAATTTAACCCATAAAAACTCTCATAAATTTTCATAATGCCAGTAGAAACATGGTCCAGCTTTTGATTAAAACCAAAAATCCAATTCTCAGTATTGTCTCTCAAAATACTACTACCACACGCTCATCATTAAGAACAAACCCGTCCATCTCTAATCTAATTGCATCCATTCCCAATTGATGAGGATGATTAGCAAAATAAAGACCTTTATGATTTCTAACTTGAGTAAGAATCTCCGTATTAGCAACCACTTTGAAGAGAAAAGAAAAGGAGTCTTTCATAATGTCTTCTTTCTTCGCTTGAAAGGTAGTCTTGCATTAACTTTTAAATATTTAAACAATACAAGTAAAAAGAACGTTCCAAGAAACAAATTCCATAAAATGATTACCAACGTGAACTTTTAAATTTCATAATATCCACTTTCTTCTATTTAAGTTAAAAATTTATCCATAACATCTAGTTGTACATATTCATTTCACTATTTTTTAGCATGCGGACAGTCTTTGATGGAAGAAACACGCATGTTTCTTTTGTGTGTATGATACGTAATCTTTCTTCCATCGCATGCATGTTTTTCAACGGCATGCATTTTTCTTCCATGACCATTAAATAAATCATCTTCAAGTTGTCTTCTATATATGTAAGCCTTCTTTAACATCATGGAATGCTTTTTTCCATGTTCTAAAAATTCTCACCCATTAACGTCTTTTACAAAAATTGTTTCTTTCTCCGCAAAGTTACATGTCTTCAGGAAGAATTGTCTTCTTTCAAGAAAATTTGTTTCTTTTTATCGAAAAGTTTAATTTTATGTTTCAAGAAAATTGTAATCATATTCTAAAAAATTATCCATGTTTTCATTTAGGGCAATTTCATCATTTTTTTCTCATATATATTTTCTAAAAAAATAACAGTAAAATCTCTTTAAATTATATAAATGATAATTTAATCCTTTAAAATATCATAATTTATTAAAAATAAAATAAATTTATATAAATGATTAAATTATCCTTATTAAAAATAAAATAATTGTAAGTTTTATTTAAATAATTATAATTTTTTTCTTGTATTCGCAACAATATAATAATAAAAACAGTTTCGCATGTCAAATTTTTAATATTATTATATGAGCAATTTAATCATTTACATAAATTCATTAATAATAATTTTTTTAAAAAAATTCAAAAATTATAACATTTTAAGAGATCAGATTGTTATTTATATAATTTAGAGAGATTTATTATTATTTTCTCTATTTTTCGATCCTAGCTAAAATCATTTGGTCATTTTGTACAATAAATTTGGGTTCCTCCTTTTAGTAGAAATCATGAATATTTTACGTGACGTGATTGATGGGAGTCATTCACTGATGACTGAACTGCATATAGTAATATAGCTGTATTTCACCGATGCATGCTTCAATAACCTTGCGGCGCAAGAGACGCGTTATGGCAAGCGGAAAGAACAGGAGCCTGTCATATGATTGTGCAGGGGATCGGACGAATATGGATGAGAACAACTTAAGAAAGCTCCAGCTGACAGCATGTGAATGAGACAAACACATCATGAACCACACCATTCGAATGCTGTGGAAAACAGACAGCATAATCCCCAAGGATTTGCCGGAGTTTCGTATGATGAAGCAACTTCAGATCCAGAGTGGCAGAGCAGAGAGTCACCAACATAAGTAGTCGTGCGCTTGTGAACAACGACGGTGGTTGCACAAACCTCAGACCCAAAAATAACTTCAGCAATGCATCTGGTCTGAATTGCGGAGAAGCTGTCAGTACATGCTGGAAATTGAAGTGATGAGGCGATACTATGTAATTTCTGTCAAAACAGAAAAGAAAATATTACCCATATTACTTACGTGGAACAATGAGGGAAGGAAGATATGAAAGAAAACGTAGGGACTAGCAAGGGCAAGGAAATTCTACCAGTTAGTGATTATCAACTGTACTCAACGCCAACAATTTGAGTATATCGACATGTTTCAACTTCTTATTCAGCAGTTTCTTAACTGGGCACTGCTAAGCTTGATTTCAACTACCAAATGCCAAGCAATTACTCATAGCGATGCTGATTTAGAAATTCAAAATATGGATGCAGGTGATAAAAGGACATTTATAATGAAAGTCAAGTAGGATTTGGATTCGATGACTGTACTTAATACAGGTACAAATATATTTGTACTATTGAATCATTAAAGTTCAGATTAACGATTAAGATAAATTCACTTATTTATTAATCTTAAATAAAGTATAAATTCATAACAGTACAAATCCATTAATATACGTATTATTTATTATTCTCTGATGAGCTTCAGTTCTAGGCAATTCCTTCTTCAAAAACTGCTAGATATATGCACACGAGTCATCGTGTGATGGTAAAATTGACAACACTGATTTTGTTAAACTAACATAAACGTGTTAACTCCTACAACCAATAAAAAATATGGAATACATGTCGAGCGAGAGACCAAATGGAGAATTGCTTGTCCTATTTTTCATGGATGATGTGCGCGCGCGCGCGGCCGGGAACGTACATGACTCAAATTAGTCTGATCTGCACCTCTCCATTTTCAACCTAGCTATTTATACTCTCTCTCTCTCTATATATATATAGTTGCTAACTTCTGATGGACATGCCAATTGTTTAATTGCAACTTGATTCTCTATTTGCTATACATGAACAGTGAACAATTATCATATCCATAATCTGATCTGGAAATCCGAGTCCATTTTAAAATTTTCCCTTCTTTTGAGAGGACTTTCTATGTTATACACAGTTACGCGCGGGGACAAAATTCAGAATCCACTTGAAGAAGATAGGAACTTGAGCTTTATCCAGAGCATATCCGGATTTCATTTGTCAGTACCAATATGCACCACCTATTTCCAGGTCACATTTTGCACGAATTCATATATATTTTTTGTGGCGGGTAGTGGCACGAAAAAGAAGACAGAATCATGCATTGTTGGGTAAGAACCCATTATCAACGTCTGTGAAAATTGTGCAGGCGCAACTTCTCGAGGAGGTGTCTGTTGGAAGTCTTGAATAAATTTTAGAAAATTATACTATATTAACTGATTAACCTGTAACTCAGAATGTGGAACTCAGGAGAGTGCATGTGGATATTTCCACAAGTAAAACAAACATGCCTTGGAAAATGAAAGAAAATAAGATCAGTTGTTCTCAGTGCGCTCCCCTCTTGTGTGTGTGTGTGTGTGTGTCTGAGCATATATATATATATATATATATATGATCTGCGATCTGATTCCACAAGGACCAGCTTCAACTTCTGTCTGCTGATCAGGGTTTAAATATATATAATATAGCTGTGCATATATCTTCTGAAATCTCCCCGCACTCCACAGTAACTATATACATATATATTGAATTTGCAACGAATGAAATACAAAATATATTCAGTAGAAAATAAAGTCCAAAACTCCTGATCATATATATATATATATATATGATACCGTACGTTGGTGATCGGCAAGATAGATATTTCTTAATTAAAACACTGCTTTAGCAGGACCAAAAGCAGATAAGGCGAAGTGAATTGATACAAGTAGTCTATTATACATTTACACGGACAAAATTAAACATGCATGTGCTCCAGAAAAAGCGGATCAATCAATCAGCAGAAAAGGTGAAAGCGCCAAGTATGGCTACCTACCTAGGTACGTCTCCAGCTTCCTGAGTTGCAATTTACAAAGCAAAATTATAATCATCTTCATCTTCGACTTTTGAACTGTTCATACATGTCAATGGATCTCCATTGCCTCATGCTATAACTCTCTTGCAAAGAGTATTCTAAATTCCAATATAAATGACAATTTCATTTTTATTGTTATTCATAATTTCAATTAACTTCT